TGTCAAAGTAAAGTTACATAGAAGGTAACGGTGAAAGTGAAATAATCACTTCTTAGGACAGCTTGGAGTATAACCCATACACGTTGAGTGAGAAGCCAAAGGGATGGCCTTCGGGTAATTTGTCTGATTCTTCAATACGACTATACGAATTTCTGTGAAAGCATCATCACAGCGTGTCTCAAATAAATGTGTTTCTCATGTCTAATTGACAGACAGACCTACAGTACAGACAAACAGGACAGTCAGCATCCTCGGCTCTCTGTGAGGCCGGCTCGCCCGAGACGCGTCGACCTGTCGTCATTCTCCTCTTTTGTGCTTCAGCTTTAATGAAAGCAGCGGCCTGTCACTGAGGAATGTGAGGCTGTGGAGCTGTGACTCTCTTCTTTACACATTTGCATGCTGCTTGTTGAGGGTGCTGAAGTGAGGAGGTCTGTCTCTCCTTAACATCCCCCTTCCCCTCCTACTCACCCCCCCCCCCACTCCCACTCCCACACTGCCTCCCTCGCCAAGTGTTTAATTAAACTTTTTGTTGTCATGAGCGCAGCAGGTTGGACTTAAGCCTGATACTGGGTGCAGGGCCGGGGGTTGGGTGTGTGTGTATGTGTGTGTGTGTGTGTGTGTGTGTGTGTGTGGGAGTGGGGGTGAGCGAGGCATTCGTCTAGCTGCCACTGAGGCCTCCGCCAACCAGATAGGTGCTGGATAAGCTCCGCTCCCAAAGGTGGGGGTGGAAGTTGAGGGGACTGGGGGGGCAGCAATCCATTGATCCAAAACCTCCACTAATCCTGGACTGGACTTCAGACGAAACAAAAACTGTCAGAGGGGGGCCGCTGAGAGTTTATGTTTTAAATTGCAAGTGCGTTTGTTTTTCCCACATAAACTTAATAAAATAAAGTTTTTATGGTCCAACATTTTGGCCTAGTATTATAATACTGTGTCATGATTTATTGTTTTGCCTGCTCTTTTCTTTTTGTGCTTTTCACACCTGAAAAAACCTCCCCAACATTTTCAGTGTTGGAGTTGGGTTTTTTACCACAAACTTACCTAGAATATTTCCTGCCACACCCCTCATACAATTTCCACTTGAAGTCGGGGGAAGAACGCAGAGGGATACATACAGTAAAATTCAACGTGAGCGAGATGTGGTGTTCACGTTAGTATCCTGTGAGAGTCGACGACCATAGACAGTACGTGCAGCCAGAACATGTCATGAAACCACTTCTCTGTGTTTTCTGTTTGCCAGTATGTTCTTCTCTTTAGTAGATAATGTTTATGTGTCACATAGCATTGATTTACAGGCAAAATGTAAATCAATGCAGAAGCTGATGCTTCTCATTATAGCATCAGCAGTATATGCTAATTGCTCTTTCACATTGTCTTCATGTCAGGTGTTTTCTCCTGAGATCAACCTGAGCAACGAGTGCCTGAGTGAAACCGCTTTTGTGAAGCGCCTTGTGTGTAAACTATTTATTTAACTTATTAAAAAGTGATGTTGCTTTATCACTGAATACTTTCTCAAATGATCCTGGGTAAACTGTTTTATTTTCTAAATACTTTTTCTTTGAACAAAGGTTTAAATAGAGAGTCCTATGATGCGCTTCAGGAGAACTATGCTCACTTTACCTTCTTTTGTTTTGTTTATTGAAAACTTAATTTAATTTTGGTCCACTCCCTTTAAAACAAGCAATCCCTGAAAAATACTGACTACTACTGCTATGGATCTGTCTAGAAGGTCAAAAAGTTGGTACAACACTATCTCTTATTGTTTCTGTAAAAACAAAATAGATGTTGTTGTTTTTCTGTGCACGTTGTAAATCTCAGAGTTGCATTAATCCTCTGTTGTTTGCTGGTTTAAGCTCAACAATGTTAACTTTTTGCAGGTCTTCTTTATACTCTGTTGTTGTTGGTGAGTTGGTCATTTCCTGGAAAAACATAAAAAATGTTGATGACTCATCCTTCTCTCAGGGACTTTCACTATGCATCCAGCATCCAATGAAATGCTTTCCCCCTTCAGCAATGTTTCCCCATTACCATGACAACAGTTCTGTCAGTTTATAGTCCTGAAAAGAGGATGAAAAGAAGTACTGAGAATCATTTTGTCACAATCTGCCCATTAACTTTGTCTAATAAAATCAATATGACTCTTTTTCGATTGTGTTTGTCTAATCCAGTGCTGATTCTGCATTTTTGTCAGCTGTGTCTAGCGAGACAAGCAGCTTTACACACAAACACACGCAAACACACACTCTCGGTGTGTTTACATGTAGTTAGGAAAGTCCAGTTATTGACAGATTTGTTCCTGCTGCTATCACTGCACGGAACAAGCTGTAGCCATGTTTGCACATACACCTCATTTATTCATTTATTTATGGCCAAAACTTATTTGTACCCTGCCTGGGGAGATTATTTATTTGTGTTTTAATCGATCTTACTGGTGGAGACTTCTCTTTCACCTATGCCCTGATTGGTGGAACCTTGAGTGCTTCTATAACTTTTAACTGTCAATGACTGAAAATGTATTGTGGAGTAAAGACTTCCTAAAAAAAATAGTGTGAAGTCTAACTCCTTCTGGATTTGTTGTTCTTGGCTCTGTGATCACACGGACTAGATGGAGCATGTTTGTCTCGCTCAGCGGCTTGAACATATATCAAGATGTGTTTTTATTTCTCACATGAACACCTCCCTGTTCAACTGTAAAGGCCCTGACTCTCCAAGGAGACCGTCGGTCTGTTGGTGAGCGGTTGCCCCCCACTAATAAAAGACCAAGGGCTGCTCGTGCCATTTTTAACTTTTTATCAGATATTATGACATTGGGGCTAATAATCAAATCTGCAAATTTACTTTGAAATGACTTGAAATGGATAGCAGAATCTTGTTTTTAGTTGTTTATTAGCTCTTGTCTGCTGCTGTCTCTGTCCTAGAAACAGGACGGGACGGCCGGGGGAAGTGTGTAGACATGCGGGAAGGGGAGAGATGGTTTGTTTTGATCTGAAAATCTGCTCTGAAAGCCTCATAGGAAGACTTTAAGGATAATGTCCAGAGGTTTGAACAATTCTTGTCCTGTGTGTCAAACTGTTCAGGCTCTCTTCTGTGTTATTGTGTTTGACCAAGAAAACTTCAGGAATCACAAGGAGAAAAAGGTGGATCTGATTTAGTTATGAGAAGAGGAACCTTGAATTAGATCAAGAATGTCCAAAACACATTCAAATGAAGTTTCATCAGGTTAAGACCTAAACTGCTCAAGTTTGAAGATCCTTTACTCGTTCCTATTTCAAGAGTTCTCCGGATATGTTATCATTTCTATACATGTTTTGTTTAGATATTATCAAGAAGCAAAGACATGTTAAGTAACACATCTGTTTCTTTATTCATTAAATGCAATTAACAAGACATTTCTTAATTAATCAACATTAAAAACACCAAAATCACAATAAACAACTTTGGTGAGTAATGCAGGGTAATGTCTATATTAGTTTTATTTCTCCTTTTGAAATTGATCCTTCATTTGATTATAAGGTGAGTAGCTGATCAACTCTTTGATCAAAACTTCTGATATGTAGCTCTAGTTAATTCTGAGGATTATTTGCTTTTTTTCTAAATTGATCATAAACGGACCTTTTGGTTTTAATCAATGGACTTTCTGTAAATCTGTAATGTTATGGACATTATAGAAATCATACACAGATTATTATATTTCACACAATAAATCAGGAAATCATCGTCAGCTTAAACTAAGTTATGAATAGTTGTAAGTTTGTTGTAGCCTTGAAAATGATACTTGTGAAATATTCAAACATACTATATGTAGAATTTTACAACGTTTGCATTCAAATATCTAAATTAATAAAAAATTCACTAAACCTAGTTCTTACATCACCTCAAATATTTCCAACAGTTATCCAAGCCAAATAAATCCTTAATTTTATAGTTGTAACGGGATGTTTCTTGTTGTGGCAGCCACCATGACAGAGCCGCCATGACAGACACGACATGTTTATTGTTGCCGTGGAAACACCAGATGTGACGTCAAAGACCGCTAGATAAAGCAGCCGGAACTGAAAGCTGCCATACTGTTGCTGTATGTGCTGCTGTGATAAAAACGTCATGTAAATGATACTTGGATACATCGTCAGTAAACATAATCTCATTCTCAGGTCAATTTCACCCGTTCATAAATTACTATGTCAACGCTGAGTTCAATTTCATTAGGGGTTAGCAGAGAGAACTATCATGATTCCCTGCCAGCCTCGACTTCATCTTTTGTTATTGTATTGATTGAGAGCCGCCTGGTGGCGGGATCCAGACTGTGCCTTTAATCTGAATATCAGTAATATTGAGTCATCCTGTATCAAAGAGCTTTGTGTTTATTAGAAGTTCCTAAAAAAAACAAAAAATCAAAAAACATATAGGCAAACAAACAATATCAGTGAAGAGTGGGTGAAAGAGAGACCTGAAAGAGACCTGTAAAATATGTCCATATTCTGTATATTATCTGTAAACTAGTATAGCATGCTCACTGCACCTTAATCCGTGTATTATAATCTGAAGAATATACTTATATTTATAGCATTTATTTATATTTATAGCATCCCATTAATACAGCCATATATACCTAATGATTCACTTTTTTTAAGTCTACATCTGTAAATTGTGTAATTACTTGTACATAGCACAGACTCTTGCACTTTCTGCTTATTTGCACTTCTGGTGAGATGCCAAACCTCATTTCATTACTCTATACTTGTATATGTGTAATGACAATGTGTTGAATCTCATCTCATCTCATCTCTCATCTCAAGAGGCAGAGATACCATCAGTGAGTATCCCGAATGAGTCCGCTCCAGCTGCACTCCACCTCGTGTTTTCCCCCCCTCGCTCTCTGCTGGGGTGATTACTCTGCTTTACTCAGTTTGGTCCCCAGAGAGCCTCACACACACACACACACTCCAAAATACATGCTCACACACACTCAGTCCCAGAGTCCCAGGGGTCGGGCATGGAGGTGCTGCTGCTCCCTGAGAGTGGATGAGTTGGAGCAGCGTGGATGGAGCGCTGCGTGCTGCTGGATGGACTGACAAGCTTTGATTTTCACTGACGGGGAAAAAGACCTTTTAAACATGGAGTTAGGAAGAGTTTGGTCCAGACATCAGAGGACGCTGCTGCTCATGATGATGATGTTCAAACTGGGTAAGAGAGCAGCATGTGCACTTTACTAAACTAAACACAGAAACACATAACCTTTATTCATAGATTCATGCCAAACATCACATTAGAAACCTGTTTTAACTTTATCAGTTAGAAAAATGTTCACAATTGCATTAACAGTGAGTGTGTGTGTGTGTGTAACCCTGCTTGTTTACAAAATGTGTGTGCATCATGATCACGTCTTGATATGTCTGTTTAGAAGCAACACAGATCAACACAGGGGATGTGAATGTTTTTTTTTTTTTACTTTTGGAGTAATTTACAAGGAATTGCTAAGACATTTCCTGGCAAAAAAAAAACAAAGACATTTTTTGTAACTTTCAGGCAAAAAATAGAAAAGTGTACTTAAGAATACACAGATCTCTTTATTTTAGTTTTAGTCAGTGCATTGAAAACCAGCCAAACATACATTAAAATGACTTCATGAGCAACCACATGATACATTTGGTACCCAATCACAAATGAACTATGACATATTAATTCAATGTGTTATCAGATCCAAATTACAAAGCAACACCCAGGATTTAAAGTGTCACAGATTTATTAATTAAAAGCATCAAAGTTTGTGATGATGATAGTTTCAGTAACTTTGACCTAAGTGATTCAATGAATTGGGTATTCATTTGATTGATTTATCTGTGTTTATGTACAAGTTACCACCTCATTTGAGAATCTGACTTTAGTTTGTATGTCTCCCTGGTTCCCCTCAGATAATGAACTAATTAAACAGGATCTAAGTCGCTGCTTGGACTCGCTCATGTGCTGCACTAGTCCTGGTGTGTGTGTGTGTGTGTGTGTGTGTGTGTGTGTGTGTGTGCGTGCCTGCGTGTGTGTGTGTGTGTGTGTATGTGTATGTGTGTTTCTTGGTCAACCCCTGCACCTTACAAAACCCAGTTGACCCATTTTTCCCGCGACCTTCGTTTGTGTGGAGCGTCTGAAGCTCGTTTAAACGGAGGCCGAGCGGAGGCAGGGATTGGCTGAGGTTGGCATTGTAAAGGGTCTCCATGGTAACGAGCTAAGCGTCCGGCTGCACTGCTGCACAGCTTTTTTTGTCTGGGCTTTGAATGGAGATTGGGGGGGGGTGATGGGTATTAAGAAAAAGGAGCATGGCAAGAGACCTGGCACACTGAGCTCTTGAGGGTATAAAGAAAAAAACGGAGGACTAAAACACAAACCGAGAGCAGAGAGCATGTGATAATGAAGACAAATGTGACATCATTTAATTAATGTGAACACTTCCAAAAACTTTATTTTAAAGAAAAACTGGAGAATTCTGCATTTTACTTCCAATCTACTCAGAGGGAAAGCTTAAAAAAAGTTGATGAGGGGAGGGATTTAATTGGAAGGGGACCCAAAACGATGCAGACTGTGAGCTTCAGTAAAATGAAGCCGGAACAACAGCAGCTTCAGAAAAGAGAAAACATCCTCTATAGAGCTCTAAAGGGCTGCCATCTCCAGATGATACACACAGGACATGAGGCTCTCAGTGTAAAGCTACCTCAGCCCAGGAGGATTTGTTCTGATAACAACCCAGAAAAGTTACAAATATGGTTGATTATTAGGGTCCACAGTAAATATATATGTAAAAGTTAACACTGATAATTCATTACTTCATATTTTAAGTTTTTAAAATCTCTGGTTGCTCCAGTTTGCTACATTATCAGAACATATTCCAAAACTCTCAAAAACAAATTGTAGTTCCCTGTAACAGGAATAACGTGTCTTGTGATTTTAACAAAGTTTAAACCAAGTGGTAGAGAATCCATTTGATCTTAGTCGGAGCTACATCTTTACTTCTTGCTTTTAGGGCTTTAGCGGCTGGAGGAACAAAAGTTTTGCCAGCACACTTTTTCTACGTTCATACGTTTTTCAATTCTTAAAAACAACGGATTTCTTTTTTGCCTGAACTTAACAGCAGAAGTCATAGAAATCAGAATGATGATAGTTGTTGAAAAATGATTTATAATTTTGTATCTGCTCACACATTTTCCCCCCTCGGTTCTCACAGAGGAAAAACAGTCACTCAGACAAACAAGTTAACCTGCCATGTAAACAATGTTGTTACACATGTTTTAGATATTATCAATAAAATGAAGGGAAACTATCATGCTGGCATGACTTTTCCACCTGCATCTTAGTCATAAAAACAGCAGAACCTTGCTTGTTTGTTTCCTTTGCTTCTTGGGGCCTCTGTAAAGGTGCCTTTTTCATTCCTAAACAGAACTCTATTCCCCCCCCCCCTCGAACCAGTCAGACACTTGTTCCTGAAAGCGATGCAGCCTGTGCAGCGGCTCACACAGGAGACAAAAGGATGTGCGTCTCTGACTCAGTGTGTAACTGTGACTGATTCAGGGAGGATTTCTGCATTTTTTCGTATAAAGCCGAGCAGGCACCTGCTGTGGAGCCCTCGGAGCACAAAGCTGAACCCGGGTAGGGCTGCCAGACTCTCGTGGTGATTCAATAAAATTCCTCTGAGCTCGACTTGTGCGTTAGCCAGGGGCTTCCCTTTCTTCTGTGATTCATAGTCCTGCTGCTGCTTCCTCTGCCCTGCAGCGTGTCTCTGTGGTGACTCTGTGAGGCTGTTTGCGTGACTCAGAGCAAACACTTTGGTCTCACTCCCCTCCCAGCCTTTTGCACCTGCCAACAGTGAAAAATACACTAAAGAGAGACACACTAGAGAGACTTTTATCAGTGTGTCATCTTTAAAATAAACCAAACACTTCAAAATGCTGGTCACAATGTTTGCCACGAATAAAAATGAACTGATGGTTTGAAGTTGTTTGATAAAATTAAATGTAAAGGTCCAACCTGTAAGATATCTACTGAGTTAAATGATAAAATGACCTACTATATCATCAGACATTAAGGAAACATGCTATGTTGAAGTACTGACAACAGAGACCAGTATGTCCTCCTTCTAACTTTAGAATCTGGACCTGAATGGTCTGTTTTTGTTTTGACCAGAGAAGCGGTTTTAAGGCAACCCAACACGGCCGTTTTGAATGCCCCTCGGTTTGAAACGATGGAAGTTGCATCAATGGAAGCGGGCAAGAGAAGTGGTTCAGATAGAAGTGATTGTACCCGATCTAAAAAGCCTCTGCATGTTTCTAATAAGCTCCATGAGCAGAAACGTGCTCAAACTAGGATCAATATTGGAGATGCTTTTGAAAAATGGAGAGAGGTTAGAACACAGAAAGATTTACAGACCCATGCAGAGCTGGATAAACACTGAAGCTTCAGTGTTCACCACATGGTGACCTGAGTGAGCATCCACTCTAGAGAGGAGGGGGCGGGGGGGAGACAGCTCTCTCTAATGTTTTGAATTTGGACTGCAGTACCCATTTTAAACACTAGGTGTCAGAGTTACATACTGCTCCTTTAAATAACAAATAAACTTTTAGCCAGTGCTCTTAAACATGGTTACTGATTGGTCGACTCAGTTCAATTCAAAATGTTTTCCTAGCTTGACAAAAACATTCTGGCATTTCACTTTCATGTTTCAGTTACTGATAATAAATATCAAATGTTTGACTAGAGTGTTTATATGTATGGTAAGAAGAAATGGATGTTAAATAAAGCAGGGTTTACACTACAAGATAATCAGGCTGATTTTAGGGCCCGATTCCCCCCTTAGGATAAAAGTCAGGATTTTTTGATGGTTATAAAGATTATCCTGTCCGATTTTTACGTGCCATGTGTGAGGTGTGTTAAGAGTGATCCAATCTTGGATGAACGTCAGGTGTTCTGTCGAATAGTGTTCCTGTGTGGCTCTGTCAGGGAGCATGATTTGATATGGGCTGTTCATCTATTGAGATATGCTAACTCTAAAAATGGTATTACTATAGAGCGTTACTTGACAGGAAATATTAGCCCAAATAATAATTGTCCAATACTAGAGTACCAAAACTTGCTCCCCATACTCAGAAAGAATATGAAGTGAGTAGTGAATTAATATAAAGTTATTGTGTTCTGATATCATTGATAGGGGATACAGGTCGGCTCTGCTAGCGTTTAACGCTCTATGACAGCATTTAACGACAAGGCAGCACATCTTGACAGAACACCGAGCCGCACTGATACTCTGTTGTGTAGGACAGCCGCGCATGTATACTGTGTCGATTTTCACACAATACCAAAACAATGGCCAACTGGAAAAGGAAGCCCCACAAACGCAGCAAGGTCCATTTTTACTCACCTCCAGCTCAGACTGTAACATGTACAGACCATGTTTGCGTCATCTTCAAGACTTTATCCATATTTAAAAAACTTTTTTTTTCTTTGTGAATTTTCAGTCACAAGTAGTCCAAAAACTCTGCATTCTATAGCCAACTCCTCCTGCCCCATGTCCACCATGATTGTTTGCTCAAAAGTTGTGAGAGATTCAGCAAGATTTTGTTTTATTTCCAGCTTTCAGTCAGAACTGTGCTGTTTTGAACATAGCGTTGCTCACCACACACTTTAGGAACAGCACTTTTGTTTATCTTGAGGTCTTTCACTTTTTCTCACACCTGTTAAGATTTTGACTAATGTTTAGTGTGGGCCAGGCTTTAGCAGTGTCTGATCAGACTTTAACATAAAGCTTGCACTAAAGATTCCACATTTTCACAGTTTTGGACATGCAACAAAACTAAACAATGGTTTAGTTTAGACTTAGATAAAAAAAGTTAATCTCCAACTAAAGTACTTCACTTTACAGATGTAGTGCATTTGACTTTACTTACACATTATTTTATGAAGTAAACAGATCTTAATAACAAGAAGCAGATGAAGTCGGTTCGTTTGACCCAGCCACTGTCCTCGACAAACAACCTCAGTGAATTTAGGTGCTCTTCACACAATTTATCAACTCATCAATGCATCAAAGCGACATGATAGAGGGCAACATCCAGGAAGGTCACTAGTGGTGAACTAACAGCGGTGTATTTGGAAAGATCTGGCCTCTGACAGAGCTGCTTCATATGACAACTTCAATGTTTTCTTTA